AGCTGTTTTGATTAGAACAGCATTCCTTGCTTCTTTGTGTGGCCTTGTTGTTTTCTTTGGGAAAATGGTGGCTTTGGAGGCTGTTGTTGTTTGGGCTGCCAGGAGAACTCAAACACTTGTTTGCTTCAGGCCTATGTTCCTTCCCTCTTAATCACTGAACTATGACATTAGTTGTGCTGTAGGCAATTCCAAGCTGCGGAGTGTGTAAAAGTTATGTAACAAACAAGTGACCTTATTATGGTGTTCAGATAATCACTGTAGATTGATTAATGTCTTCAATATACAGCTGTTATAAGGGCACAGAGAGAAACAAAAGTGATATATGGTGACACAGTTGTAGGACTTCTATGAAAATTGCTGACATTATTATGTTGCCTCTTTGTCTACTGTTATAATTGTGCTTTTGAGTTTGCTACTGGAAGAGCTTAGGATTCCAACTACCTATGGTGGTGCAAAATATAGAATGGAATCATCTGTAAGATTTCCCAAGCTGTGATGATTCCTTCTAAAACAAAAATATCTTCAGATCCTGAACACAAATAGCTATTTCAATAGTTTTAAAATATGGGATAGCTGTGAGGTTCTCCTCCTTGCCTAGTTTTCTTTTCCCTTATCGAATTTTCTTTAAACAAGAATCACTTTAACATGGTAAGCAGTACTTAGTTGTACTCGGCTAATCACATTTATTTATATTACGAACAACCATCTAAAAAGAAGAAGTTTTTCCCTTCAACATTTTAAGAGCCTTCATGTGTATTATTGGAAAGTTTAATCTTGTGAACTTGCTATTCCAGGGCTGATGAAATCTCTTAGCCCTCTTGGAAAAATATTATGCATAAATACTGTGTTAGTTCTTCTAAAACATAAATCAAACAGTAGACATTTCTTATTGTTTATTCTCTACTTGGAGAATATCACTTTAACTGAAAAGTCAAGAATCTGGATCAAATTCATCATAGGTGTAATCAGCAATAAACTAGGACTAAATTTTAATAGTTATTTTATAAACACCTCATGTGTTCTTGCTACACATATAAAATGAAGAGCTGAAGATTTATGCTTGTGGCCTCTAGAGGAAAGAGTTATGGCCCGATCCTTAGAGTTCAGGCCCATAACAAACAATTGCATAACGTCAAAGCAAGCACACCATCTAAATGAAATGAAAGCAATTTTACTCACTTGAAGAGCAAACTCCTGCTAGCTGTGATGTGACCAACATTTTACAAACCAAGGGAAGTCATGGTCAGGACTTACCCTGTCACCACTTTTGTGGCCCCAGGGTTCAGGAGAAGCCGGCAGGGTGGCCATGAGGCTGGCGGGCCACATGGTCAGGTGTGTGTGGGGGGAGCTAGGTTCCAGGGGCAAGAGCCTGGCATCCCTGGTAGGATCATGTCAGGTGGGCTGGGGAGGGGTAGGTGTCTTGGGTGCCTACTTGCATGCCCCTCCCCTATTTATTCAGGTGCTGCACGATCCTTCACCCTGGGATCCGTCCCTATGTTGTGCCAATGCTCCTACAGTGTAATCAGTAAAAGTTGTGGCCTCTTTATCTTACAAGGCAAGGTTGTCTGTCTCACCTGTGGGCCCTCTATGCCCATAGAGGAAGCCTTGTCTGCTTAGGTGTGCATACATATTTCCATGGTAGCAAAATCCAGCTATTTCTGAGTTGTACCCATTGATGTTATTGTGACTGACATTTACCTTGTTAAAGTTAAATATACATGTAACTGGACTGGTGGACTAAAGGAGAAAATTATAAAAATAAAGGAGAAAGTGTATAAATTGTTTTTCATGTAAATGTGTATATATAGTAACACTAGAAATAAGGGAAGAGAATGAACTGAGAATGTCGAACTCTGCTCTGTATTGTAATTACACCTCTAAATATAGTATTTTTTCAGCTCTCATAATGCAGTGCCATCTGCTTTTCTTAATGCAATTCAGTAGACCCTGAGAAATACAGACAGGTTTTTTTATGGACACATTTTCTATAAAAGAATATGACAAAAATTAGTGAGATAGTTTACTGATTTTACTATCTAAAATCCATCAATTGATTGCAATACCTTAGTATTTATACAGAAATCAGCTATATAGTACCATTCAAACCTCAAATATTCCCATTACAAATATGCAAGAATTTTATTTTAGATAGCAGAATCTCCAATCCAACCACAAAAGAAGGAAACTAGCAATTAAAAGCTGACTGGGTATATGTCCAAGGCAGATTAGGATAACCCAACTATCCACAATTGTAATCAGTAACCAATTTGCAGCATATGAAGTAGTAACTAGACAGACTTTTACTACAAAACTGTAACTGTAGAAGCAGCAAAAGAAACACAGTAGCAGAGCCAGCTGCAGGGGGGGAAATCAAATAGAAGGTAGGCATCCCTGAAAATAGGAATATCCCTTTGATGTTATAAAGCAGATAAGTATAGGTTATATAGCAATCCATTGAAGAAATAGGAGTTCTGTTTCCTTTTTTCTCAAACTACTACTATTTTATGATCATCTGATAGGAGGAAGCATGGAGCCCTTCCAAACCAAGTGGTGCGAAACATTTTTCAGGGACATAATGGTAAAACACAGATGACTCCTCTTTAGTCTGAGTGGTTAAGACTTGGATCCTGCCTAGATTTTGGCACACACAAGAAATTTTTGCTGATCCCCCCTAAGATGTTCCTTAGGGGTTTCCCATCTCCCAGGAGCCGCATGGATGGAAGCATTTTGGGCTGCCATGGGAGAGAGAAATTAGAGAAAATTCTCACACCCACCTTTGTGCCTGAGGAAATCTAGGCAGGATCCAACCCTGTATCCACTAGGCCCAAGGCTGCAGCTTGTAACTCACTTAGGAATTGTCTCAGAACCTGTCTATTATTGCATTCTAGCATCCCAGTATTAACAGCATAATCATATTTCTGAGACACTAAAATCAAAGTAAATTGCATGTTCAAGGGCAACTGATTGGGATTTTAGTTTTCTGTAGACAGCAGTCATGTTAAAAATGATCAGGTCCAAAGCATATAAACTGAGAATCTGTCTTACTGTACTTTTTAGAGCAGAGATTATTTTGAACCAACAGAAATTGATTCAATTTTTGTATATTGTTGTCATTATTCTAATAAAACCAAAGCAGTTTAATAAAAGCTGTTTCAGCCATCTTTGATTTTAATAAGACTAAATTGACTTAAAACAAGCAGTTATTAAAATATCTGATAACTATAGTACATGGAATAAGAATATAATTTATCCAGGGAGATTATCTTCTTCCAGGAATATTTTCTAAACGTTTCCTATTTTTACTATAATATTTTACAACTATATGTCTACAAAATACATCTGCAATATCCAACTGTAAATAAAGTTGGTCTGAAAAATAACTTACAAATGGACAGGTGCCAAACACCTACAGTTTGTTCACACACACAAAAATGTAACCTAGAATGTAGCTTTATACACAAATGCATAGGCTAACAAAATACCAAAGCATCACATTGTCCTGTTAGCAGTTAGTTTTTTCTATATATCAGAGTTAGTAAATGGCCAAAAGAGTGAACTATATGCACGTGTACTATCAATTTTAAGTGCAACCCTGCACAAGTGGTCTAAACCCCCCAACGAATTAGAGCTAGTAATAGACACAGGGATTGCCATTCAAAACAAATTTGGATGTTGATCTCAGTAAAAAGAATTATGCAAATATCACTGACTATAAAAGAGAAAAGATCTTTCAAGCCATACAATTAAAATTTCACTGGATGAGATTTTTAATATTTCACATTACAAAAGCTTTGATAGACTATGCTATTACATCATAAAATGTAGTGAAGCTTAAAGAATAATAAAGACACTCTATCTTAAACAAACTGAAGTGCAATCATCATATGTATGTTTATTCAGAACTAAGCCTCACTGAGTTCAACAAAGTATATTAGGAGTGTAGCAAGTGTATTAGGAGTACAGCCTTAGAGAGCATCCCTAAGTGGTCTACTCAGGAGTAAGACCCATTTTATTCAATGGAGCTTACTCCCAGTAATGTGTTCTTAGGATCACAGTCAATTGTTCTACTTTTGTTGCTGTTATTATAATAAAAATATCCCAATGCACTGAGAAATGTGTGAAAGTGTTTAATAGTTTACATGAATGAAATCTGTAAGTGATGATGGAAAAAAAACCATTCTTATAAATCCTGTACATCAGACTTTAAATTACACAGGACTTGTTACTTTAGCAATTAATCACAGCTTATTGCAACATGTGTAACTATTAATTGAAATGCACGCTATCCAAAGATCAATCTAACTGAACAACAAAATACTCTAAAACTCAGCAAAACTATCACACAAGAGTTATTTTTGAAGTGATTCAGAAATGGATCACCAATTTAGGAGATTTTTAAAATTACTTTTGATGTTCCTTAAAAACACAAACCCTAAGACATCAAGTGAATTATTACCAACATGAACATTTATCCCATTTCTTTTATATTAGAAACAATACCAATAAAACTAAATCCACAATAGCTGAATAACAGTAAAATCAGAGCTAGCGTTCCTTTATTCCTATGCACCCATACTTATAGCTACATAAAGAAAGGAAAAATTATCCAAAATTGTGTCATTTTAAATTCCCAATAATTACTTTGCCCCCTTACAGCTGTCCAGATTCTAATTCAGATACATATCCAAATTTGTTCAAATGATGTCAACAAGAAAATTCAGAAGGTCTTCCCTCAGAAAGGCTTCGCAAGTATAATCCACAGCCCCGAACAGTGAATTTAAAAAAAGCATCCAATTTTTTTCCTGAGTTTCAAGTTTTTAAGCCTTGTGGACAGTTGGAATAGGAAAAAGGAAATTTACTAGGCAGTACAAAGGAAATCTTCTCGTCCTCTATTGTGGCTGTGGGGGTGTTGCCCAGTTCTACTTATTGCTACTCAGAAAGGAAATCAAATAGTATTATTTTTTTAAAAGAGGCTAATAAAAAGATATTCCCTTTCTTACCTTAATAGTGCTCGCCATAATGTGATCTAGTTTATTGATTGCTAATAATTGTCAATAATAATTATTGCTTCGCTCTGACCAGAAAGAAGTTTTAATGAAGTTATTTAGAGCGGATGAGATTGTGCTAACTCTGGGAAATGAAGTCAGCCAGTGACAGGAAGAGGTTTCTATTGGTCCTGGCTACTGAAGTTTGAAGAAACAGGATATTTGGGAGCTAAGAGATAAGAGGTTCTAAAACAATGTTGTTTTTCTTGCTGATATGCAGCTACAAGATTTTTTAAAATGTCAATTGGCTATGACAGTGTCAGCAGGTGTGATATGATGTGCAGTAAATACGGTCTGCCACACTGAAGCCGGATACAGATGTTGCATGAACTGGGCCAAAACTGATACGAGACTCCCCAGAGAATTACAGATTTAGGGCCAAAGTTAGATTTGGGGTAAATTGTTGCAACCTTGTTGACATCAATGAAAGGTGGCATGTCTACAACAGAGAAACTTTCCATTGACTTAATGCCTAGAGTCATTATTTTATAATCTTCCAGATGGATCTGAATGTGCTTATTAGCAATATCCTGAGGTTCAGTACAGGATCATCAAACAAGTGTCAGTGTGTGTTGAAGGGGAGAGACAATCACAGAATCACAGAGTTAGAAGGGGCCATACAGGCCATCTAGTTCAACCCCCTGCCCAATGCAGGATCAGCCTAGAGCATCCCTGACAAGTGTTTGTCCAGCCACTGCTTAAAGACGGCCAGTGAGGGGGAGCTCACCACCAGCTATTGCACAGCTATTGCACTATTGCACAACTCTTACTGTAAAAAAGTTTTTCCTGATATTCAACCGGTACCTTCCTGTCCTTAATTTAAACCCATTATTGCAAGTCCTGTCCTATGCTGCCAACAGGAACAGCTCCCTGCCCTCCTCTAAGTGACAGCCCTTCAAATCCTTAAAGAGAGCAATCATGTCCCCCCTCAGCCTCCTCTTGTCCAGACTGAACATTCCCAAGTCTCTCAGCCTTTCCTCATAGGGCTTGGAAATAAGTGTAAGTAAAATAGCACTTCCCTTCAGAGATCTGTAGTAAGTGGTTCTGCACTGTAGTTGGACAGCTTGGTTTTGTCCTAATACAGTGCTGAATTAACAGCATTGTATCTTTCATCTGACCTCCTGGAGATACCACTCCATGCTGGTTCTTCCCTCTTTTCATTGAAGGAAGACTCTGTCCAACAGAAGGTTCCTTCCGCTAATAGAATGGAAGCCTTTATGTATTTGGCTGGTCCAAAAATAGTAATACCAATTTTGATGTTATCACACTGAGTTGACACTTAGAGACAGTTTTGAACTTTCACTTTCAGACACATTCTCTAATGCTTCCCTCAACCTGCTTTGTCAGCTGAGCGTCCAAATGATCATTTCTGTTCTAAAGTACTCAATCTTTGGACATGTAATTTATAAAACACAGTGGATAGTCAACTAATGGATCCCTCTTACAAACTGTTAGTATTAAAATAAAGCATATTCCAAGTAAACATAACCAAATGCTATGTACATTTCCAAAAATATATTTCATATGTATTACTTCTAGATTTGTCAAAAATTCTTGACTGGAGGATTGTTTTTTTCCTGTCCAAAATATGATATTGAGTTTACTGTCGATCTTACTGCAATCCTGCAAATCAGAGATTCATGTTTACATTCCTTTGAAATCAGTAAGACTTAAATCGTGTTAGTGTAAAGTTTGCATAGGGGCCACGGTGGCTTAGAGGTTAAGACGCTGAGCTGCAGCCGGAAGGTCTGTAGTTTGGCAGTTCGAGACCCTGGTGCTGTGTGATGGAGTGAGCTCCCGTTCCTGGCCCCAGCTCCTGCCAACCTAGCAGTTCAAAAGCAAGAAATTGCAAGTAGTTAAATAGGTACCACTTTGGTGGGAAGGTAACAGCATTCCGTGCACCTTGGCATTTAGTCATGCCGGCCACATGACCACAGAGAAATCTTTGGACAGCGCTGGCTCTTCGGCATGGAAATGGAGATGAGCACCGCCCCCTAGAGTCGAATTCAACTGGCTTTCGAGCAAGGGAAACCTTTACCTTTTAAAAGTTTGCATTGCAGCTTACTGTAGCAATATCACAGGTCACTTTATGGTTAAGTTGCTCAGATCCATCAGAACCAGAATGTCACTGTTATATCAAGGTCTAGGGCAGTAATACTCAATGGCTCAGCCATGTGCCACCTGCGGTTCTTCTGAGTGCTGTTCCCCAATGTGGCAATTGCCCTGGGTTCCAGGAAAGTATACAAGACCATTGCATGGGAGGGCTTGTGCTTGGCAGGTGGTTCTTGCCTTAGAACGGGGACTGGAAGATGTGTAAACTGAAGGTCTCATGTTAGGGATGGAAGTAATGGGCCTGTCCTCTGCTACAAACCTCCAACCCTTCTTGGCATCTTGGACATCCCAGCACCTAGGCAGCAGCCAGGGAATAGTAAGCTGCCCACAGAGAAAAGAAAGCACAACTACTACCACCACCACCACCACAGCAGCCACCCAGGAAAAAAGGAAGCTGGCAACAGTGGGGTGGTGGAGGTTGTACTCCCCTTGTTCCATGACCAGCTTGCTCTCTTAGAGATGCCTTGGGAATCTGACCGTCATCTGAGCTGCTGTTCCTCATGTTGAGCAGGAAGACAGAGACAGATGTCATTCCCTTTCCATACACAAGGGCAAAACTTCAACAATAATGTAAAAGGTTATATTTATATATTTCATATTAAAGGATTGGATTCAGACAAAATTTTCCACTAGCAGAACAGAAATTTCCCTCTCCAATTGTATCCCACTCGTCTCCACAAAAAGCTATTCCTGAGGCATAAGGGACCTGAGGCATAAGAGTGACATGAGAGGAGTGTGCAGCAGGAAGAAGGAATCAGCAAAAATTGCCAATTTAGTCTGGATCCAAGCCAATAGTTATACCTAGGCTTATAAACACACAAGGCAGACAATTTATTTATTATATTATTTATTATTTGTATTTATACCCCGCCCTCCCCGGAGGCTCAGGGCGGCTAACAACATATAATTAATAAAACAGTAAAACAGTAAAACAGTAAAAACAATACAAAATATTAAAATTACATCATAATTTATAACCTATCTAATACAAAGCTAGCTAAAACCAAGATGGCTGTGCTAGGTCCCGCAGAGCCCTGATCTCCTCCGGGAGCTCATTCCACCAGATAGGAGCCGCCACCGAAAACGCCCTGTTCTTGGTCATAGTCAACTTGATGGACCGGGGGCCCGGTACCTCCAATAGGCTCCGGCTCCCCGACCGTAGTGCCCTTGGGGTAACATGTGGGGTAAGGCGGTCCCTTAGGTAGGCTGGTCCCTGGCCATATAGGGCTTTAAAGGTGATAACCAGCACTTTGAAGTGAACCCGGTACGCTATTGGCAACCAGTGCAGCGCTTTCAGCACAGGCTGGATGTGATCTCGTCTAGGAAGATCCATCAACAGCCTGGCTGCAGCATTCTGCACTAGTTGCAGCTTCCGAATTTGCGACAAAGGCAGCCCCATGTAGAGAGCGTTACAGTAGTCTAGCCTTGAGGTGACCGTCGCGTGGATCACCGTAGCCAAGTCAGTCCGGTCGAGGAAGGGAACCAACTGCCTTGCCAGCCGAAGATGGTAAAATGCCGACTTGGCAGTGGCCGCTACCTGGGCCTCCATCGTTAGTGAGGAGTCCAGGAGCACCCCCAAACTCCTAACCTCCGACGCTGGCACCAAAGGTGTCCCATCGAAGGCCGGGAGAGGGAGCCCCAACCCCGAACCGATCCGACTCAGCCCCAGGACCTCCGTCTTTGCCGGGTTTAGTTTCAGCCGACTCAGCCTGAGCCACCCAGCCACAGCATGTAACGCCCTATGCAAGTCATCTGGGGTGGAGTCTGACTGGCCGCCCAACATCAGATATAGCTGGGTGTCATCAGCATATTGATGGCAACCCAGCCCACAACTCCGGGCAATCTGGGCAAGGGGGCGCATATAGATGTTAAACAGCATCGGGGATAGCACTGCCCCCTGAGGAACGCCACATTCCAGGGCCCACCTCTGGGACCGCTGATCCCCTATCGCCACCCTTTGTCCCCGACCTTGGAGAAAAGAGACCAGCCATTGAAGGGCAAGCCCCTGAATCCCCATGTCGGCGAGGCGGTGGGCCAGCAGCTGATGGTCGACCGTATCAAAAGCGGCCGACAGCTCTAACAACACCAGTGCCGCCACTCCGCCTCGATCCAGATGCCTCTGGAGATCGTCAGTCAGCGCGACCAGTACCGTCTCCACCCCATGACCCGGGCGAAACCCGGACTGGTGGGGATCGAGGACAGAAGCGTCATCCAGAAATGCCTGTAGCTGCACCGCCACTGCTCTCTCTATCACCTTGCCCAAATAGGGCAAGTTGGACACCGGCCGATAGTTGGCCAATTCGGCCGGGTCCAGAGATGGCTTTTTTAAGAGAGGGCGGACCATCGCTTCCTTGAGTGCCCCAGGGAACTGCCCCTCAAGGAGGGACTTGTTAATAATCTCCCGTAGGGCACCTCGAAACCCCTCGCGCCCCATTTTAATGAGCCAAGAGGGGCACGGATCAAGGTCGCATGTGGTTGGGCGTCATGCAAGCTGACAACTGAGTCATGCAAGCTGACAACTGAGATGGACGGCTTAGCAATATTGTTGTGATTGCCTAGCAACCCCCAAACAGCCACTGGACACTCTTTTCATAAAACTACAGATGTTGTTTTTTGCTATTTTGGTGATTTTTAATCCCTGGAAGTATTTTTTTTAAAGATTTCAGATTTTTATGCAACTTTGGAACTTTGTAGAGAAATCCCTCCCAGTCTGTCCCCAGCTCCATTTCGTGGCTCTATCCATCATATTCTTTATGGTGCTTTTCAGAAATAGATATATTAATTCCTGTGTATAATATACAAAGTATTTTGAAAGACACATGTATTGATTAAATGTGACTACTTTTGTCTACAATTAATATGCTATAATGTATAGTATAATACTGTACTGAATACATCAATGTTTTAATGTTATACATTTTGATATACAAATATGCTGCTAGCCCTTTTACGACT